AGCCAGTAGCCAGTAGCCAGGACAGAAAAAATGGTCTTGAGACCTGATCGCACAAGGATTTGCTACAAAGGATAGTGTACATGCTCACATCAATCCAGAGACATTGTCGGACCACTTTCCCACGGGCAAAACCGAGTGATGAACATTTTGGATTCTGAGTCGTTGATTTCAACCTCGCGAAATTCCAGAACATCTAAATCGCTTTTACCGAAACCAGGTTTGTTCATGTGACCAACAGGAAATATATAATCAGGACACAAAAATCTGAATCAAACAGAAAGAAAATGGGGCCGCCCAAAAAAAAGTTAGAGTTCCTTTTTTTTTGGAACTCTAACTTCTGGTCCATCCAACTCCCAAAAAGCTACGGTTTTTTTTTCCCCTGAACTGAAAATCTAAGGAAATATGAGAAAAAATGCCTGTAAACTATCCAAGTTGCAGGAGAATTTTCATGAATTTTGGCAATTTTTGGGTTCAGGAGAAAAAAATACATGTAAAAAATTGCAGGTTTTGGGGAGGTAAGTTAGAGTTCCTTTTTTTTGGAACTCTAACTTTCTGAGGGGATTCTAACTTTTGGGTGCTCTTAATCATTTTGCCTTGAGGTTGAACGGGTTTGAACCATCTCCTCTGAACCCCTGCGGCATGCGAACAGTTGTTCTTGGTTTCGCAAATGCCATTTTGGATTTGCCTCTCGTGCTCTTTGTTTCTTGGCGTGAAAGCTTTTCTTTGGAACCCTAATTTTTGAGAAGCTCCAAGAACTGGGTTGTTCTGCATTCAAAAAATTAGAGTTCCTTTTTTTTTGGAACTCTAATTTTTGAGAAGCTCCAAGCACTGGGATTTCCTACATTCAAAAAGTTAGAGTTCCTTTTTTTTTGGAACTCTAATTTTTGAGAAGCTCCAAGCACTGGGATTTCCTACATTCAAAAAGTTAGAGTTCCTTTTTTTTTGGAACTCTAATTTTTGAGAAGCTCCAAGCACTGGGATTTCCTACATTCAAAAAGTTAGAGTTCCTTTTTTTTTGGAACTCGAATTTTTGAGAAGCTCCAAGAACTGGGTTTTTCTGCATTCAAAAAGTTAGAGTTCCTTTTTTTTTGGAACTCTAATTTTTGAGAAGCTCCAAGCACTGGGATTTCCTGCATTCAAAAAGTTAGAGTTCCTTTATTTTTTTCAACTCTAATTTTTGAGAAGCTCCAAGCACTGGGATTTCCTGCATTCAAAAAGTTAGAGTTCCTTTATTTTTTTCAACTCTAATTTTTGAGAAGCTCCAAGCAATGGGGTTTCTTGCATGCAAAAAATTAAAGTTTCCTTTTTTGGGGAACCCCAATTTTTGAGACGCTCCATGAACTGCGTTTTTTTTCTTGCGCCCTTTTTTTGGAACACTATCTTGTGAGAAGCTTCAAGAGCCAAATCTCTACGCACAGAAAAATATAGTTCCTTTTTGTTTGAAACACTAGGTTTGTTTTCATTTTCTTCTTGGGGGTTCCTTTGTTTTGGAACTCTAAGTTTTTTGCAAGCCAGTTTCCTTGTTTTTGGGGTTCTGTGTGCAAACCTTTTGTTCGAAGCAGTTTAACTTGTTTCTCTTTCAGTTTCGCATTCTTTACGGAAATCAAGCTGTTCAACGCAGTTTGTTTGTTCTCCTAAAGTGTTTTGTTTGCAATTGTAATCCTTATTGACTTTAACGTTGCCACACACTCTCAGTCTCATTCTTGTTTCTTTGGAATATGTTTCTATTAACTTGTTTTGAGTTCCATTTTTGTTGACCTTAGCCTTGTTGACCATACTTTTGCCCCCGCGCAATTCCATCAGTTTTTCTTGCAGCCTTCTTTTCCGGAATCTATTTGTTCTTTTTCGGGGTTTTCTCACAATGCTGGCATCTCTAGTGTTAACATACATGTTCATAGTTTGTTTTCCGAGAGTGCCCTTTTTGGGGACCTCAACTTGTTCAAGGCATTTTGTGTGTACTTTGGGGGATTTTCTTTTTTGAACTCCAAGTCTTTATTTCAGACTCTGTACCAACATTTTTTCCACTTCTGTAGTGTGTGCTCTTCGGAGTGCACGTTGATTTTCGGCTTGTTACGTTATTTCCTTTGCTATTTCATACCCATGCCATGTTGTTGGTTGAAGTTCTCATTTGTTTTGGGATCTGATAGTTTGTGGAGTGCTTCTTTGCTCAGGTTCCTTCTGAAGAATACTTGTTGGGATTAAGCCGCAATGTCTTCCATTCGTATGTTCTTTTTCTCTAACGCGTGCTTTTTTTCCCGCCTCAAAGTGCTCCATACTGTCGACGTTGGTATTTTGTCTCTAGTACTGCCCGCAAACAAATCCACCGCGTAATAGGGCGCGACGACGTTTTATTAGTGTCAGGCCCCCCACCATTTGTTTTTCATTGAAACTTTGCGCTATCTCCAGTCCCAAAGCGTGCGAAGCCAGTAAACAAACCAGATTCTGATTAACCACGCATTTTTTTGAATTATTTGCATGTAATGTAGTTAAAGGTTCTCGATGGTGACGTTTCGCTAGAATGAACCACCAGTGGTGCCATCATCCACCATCAAATACCTAATGAATTGACTTATTCAGTTTCGTTTGGGCTGTGCCCAAGTCGCAAACGAGTGTGGCCTTAGCAGCATGTGGGAAAAATTAGGGCCCTTTTTTGCCTGAACCGTGCTGGACTTATGAAATTTAGCATGCGGCCCCAGGCTTTTTCAGGGCTGAGCACCTTGGCTTCAGGTCTTCCATTTTTTAGAGACCATGCATCCTATGATATAATATGAAATCATATGAATATCATTGAAATTCATTGAATAACATTGAATATCCAACAATATCCATGATGTTCCGTGATAAATTGTTCATATATCTTCATATTGTTTCATCATGCCTGCCCGTGCTAGGTACTACAAGTTGTCGGCAAAAGATTGGTCCAAGGCAGTTTCATCCCGGTTTGAAAGGATCTTACAGGGATATGAAATGGACCCACCTGAGCGCAAGTTGCATGCATCCTTGATCAAACAGATAGTGGATTACATGGGTGCCGTCGAAAAGTCCTCTGGATAGAATTGCGAAAATTCTGAACATATGTCTTTTCTGTGTGTGTGTGGTGGCCTGAGTTGCTGGAATTTAGGCGTGCAGTGTACAGTAGCTGCGTGAAAAACTCATTGGCAAAGGTGCCAAATGTGTGACTGAAGATGCAGGCTGGATGTGATTGCCCTGTTGTCATTTGTTGTCTTAGGTACCGCTTGGACGTAGCTGCAAAATGTCTGCAAAATTATGCGCATGATTGCAAATGTGGTTTCCATAGTTTTCCGTTGTTTTCCCAAAATTTCCCAGACTCCCAGGCCTTCCATTCTTTAGAGTATGTGGGTGCAACAAGCGCTCATCCGATCTCATCCGATTGTATCCATACGCGTTTTCCATTGTTTTCCCACAATTTCCCGGAACCCCAGGCCCTCCATTCTTTAGAGTATGTGGGTGCAACAATTGGTCATCCGATCCACACCATTCCATAGATAGAATGTTTTCGGCAATGAAACCTATCGAATATTATCTTGCCATATCTTGCCTGATTCTGCGGCATTGGTCCTCCAATGCGTCTCAATGCGTCTCAGAACATGTCCAGCGCGTGCGGAGAGAAGATCTGGTTGACATTGGTTGAGTTAATGCAGACGATTTCAGACGATGATTTAATAATTTAATAATATAAGAATATATAAGATATGATATGATTTGAAATAATTTGATAATATATGATATGATATTATGATACAACCTTATAGAAATTTTATATAATGTTATATAGGTTGCAATATTTTTCTTATTTGTTCTTATATTTTTTCGTTTCAGGTTTTGTTTTCATGCCAGATCTCTCTGGGTTGCGCTGCCTGTCCTGCACAAACCTCAGTGATCGTTCCCTGTTCAAAAGGAGCTGCTCCGCTGGGTGTGATTTTGGAAAGGCTGGATAACACTGGATGATTGTGTGCCTAAAGAATGGTCCCCCATAGGAAGGGGATAAAAGAACCCATACAAATCACAACAAATCACTATATACTATAGAATGGAACCCATAGGCATTGGTTGGCGTTGTTGAACGGACCATAACGGACCGACAAACTCTAAAGAATGGAACTTTGAACGTTTTCAAGGTCGATCAAGAATATTCAGACAACTACTAAAGAATGGTATCCCCAGGCACTGCAAACCAAACAAAATGTTCACATAATTTTACAACAACTCGGTCCACCATTTCCTAGAGGAGAAAAAAGGGGAAAAATGAAATTAAGCACTTTTCAAGCCAATCACCTGGTCCTCCATTTTATAGACATGCCTCTGTTTGTAGGACCCTCGGGGTTCCATTCTATAGAGATTGGGGTTCCATTCTTTAGAGATTTGTTATGATATGTTGGTCTGGCCCTGCCATTCTTTAGAGCTTGGGGCTCCATTCTTTAGATGTTCCACTTCTAGCCCCCCCCCGGTCCACTATAAAATGGCGACACCCACCCCTTTTACTTAATTCACACGGGGATTCAAGATTTGTTTATATTTATTTATAATTAGTTTTATTTATATTTATTTATGTATTGTCATTTATTTATTTGTGTATTTATTTTTTATTTACATGTATTTATATTTATTTACATTTGTTTATGTATTTTGATTGGTATTTATTTATATTTATTTTTAGTTGTTTATTTACATTTACTTGTATTTATTTATTTTTATATTTATTTAGATTTATTTAGATTTATTTACATTTATTTATTTTTATTTATTCAGATTTATATTTATTTAGATTTACTTATATTTATATTTATTCAGATTTATTTATAGTTATTCAGATTTATTTATAGTTATTTAGATTTATATTTATTTATTTAGATCTATTTATATTTACTTAGATTTATTTAGATTTATTTATATACCCGCAAAGAGGCATTAAGGACATCGATTTGCTAGATAGATTTCGTTTGATTCATGCTCTGTGTTGATTTGTTTGCTGCTTTGAGGTCCAAATCCATGTGGGTCTCTTTTCGCAAACACTAGGCAGGGCATGCTGGGCCAACAGCAAGGTTCTGTTCAGGCAGAACTTGGCAGAATTTTTCAATTTTTGAGACAATTTTTGATCGAAGTGTTCAGAGGGCGGTTCTCCAGAGAGCCAATGCCCCAGAGCCTCTCGCAGCAGGGATAATTTAAACATATATTTAAATTATTCTGAGATGTAGGGGTTCCACCTTCCGCTGGTGCCTTTGCAGTTGCAGGCTGAGATTTTGATTTGTTTGATCAAGTATGTCCGAAAACTTGAGGTGGTGTTTGACTACAGATTTTGTTCATCGCAGTTGGTGCATGTTTGAAATTGTTTTTGAATCAATTGCGTTGAAGCAGGCTGCGGTCGGCGTAGCCTTCGTAACTTGAGGGGTTGTTCGAATATCTTCTGTGGTTTAATGCAGCATTTGCCATGCCATGGACACGAGTTTTTTAGAGCAAGTCCGATGACGGGCTGCACAAGGGTTGTACCTAAATGGCCCTTGTGGGAGGCGATTTGGATCAGTTTGGTAATACGTGTTGATCTGAGTTGAGACCTTCGGAAGCGCACAGACTCGATATGTTTCGGGATTTTCAAAGTCGGTTGCCATATTTGCTGCATTTGTCGTCAAGAAGTCTTACAAAAACCATTGCAACTGGCAATGATTGCTGGAGGATCACAAGGTTTCTACCTGTATGGACGCTTAGTCAGATTGTCAAATTGTACCATGACTCAAGCAAATAATTTCATAACTCATAGTAGTTCATGATATAAATTTATGATACATCGTATCATATCAAATCAAACATATGAACAATCCTGACGTCAAGAGGAACAGACACATTAAAATTGCACAAAAGGCAGTTTTGATAGTTTTTGAAGGAATCTCAACGAACTCAGGCCTGTCGCATTTGCCCACATTGATGTGGACATTTTTCCATCGGCGATAGAGGTAGCGGCAGTTCACGCATGAGAGCAAGGGATGAGGTGTTCGCATGCGTTCACTTTTGGGAATAAGAACGCTCACTGCGTCATGAATTTTGCCACGTTACTCTGTGTGTCTCACTCTTTAGACTGGTATGTTTGTACTTTCAGATGTTGTTGCTTTCTGGTAGGACATGGAATACGGCATCATTCAAAAGGACAAACTGTTTGAGGGCATCTCGAGGTATTACTATTGTTTATGTGTTTCCCAATATGAAGGTGATGACAGGAATGGCAAGAATACATTCCAAACTGTGACACGAAATAAAAGAGGTAACGACAGGTCTCTGGCGTTGTTTGTTTCTATGGCTTGTGTTTGGTAAGGTGTGTAATCCCTGAGGGAGAGAAGTTTCTTTGTCAGTTTGCCAGAACATGTGTGATTACAAAACGTGAAACAGTTGCCTGTGCAGATGAAACAGGAGGCCTGATATTCTGATAATGTCACTCCATTTTTTCAATCTGTGGAAATTTGATACAAGTATAACTTAGTATAACATTATAGAACTGAAATAGCAAGAAATCCATACGCCCTGCACAGAATAGCATTTGCATCTGGGTCCAGCGCTTGACCAGCGTGGAGACCACGAGCTCCGGCAGGTTCTTTCGAGGATAGCATGTCAGCTCATGGCTGGCTCCATCCTGGTCTACGATGTTGGGCTTCTCAGCAATTTGTTGCCAGCAATGCAGGAGTAGCAGCAAGGATTAGGAATGATCCTGAAATCTTGAGGAACCCATTTCAATCCACGACGAGTCTTGTCAAGTTCACATTCGTTGACATTGGTTAGCAATCCTCCAGCTTTCGGTTTCAGATGTGAGATGAATTGAGATGAATGAGTCTATTAGACTCCTAAGGAGTTGGTCAATTATGTCGGTTTCGAGCTCTCTGGTGAATACCGCGCATGGGAGCATGGGTCCCAGATCAGGAAGCTGGAAGGGAGTCTGATGAGTAAGGTGCCTGAAGTTTCAAATGCATCCTAGGAGATCCTAGAATTAACTGATTAACATGAACTTATCAATATGAATTAACATGGCCAGGATATAGTATGATTTGGCAAAAGGATGCATTCCAGCCATTCCAGCACAAGCTTTTGGGCATTTTTGGGCCACAGTTCTTGTCAAGTGGGGCACAGGGAAAGGAGGAACCAGGACACATTGCGGCGTATCATAGTGGGATTCATTGTGAGATAAACTTTCCAAAGTTGAAGCAGTTCAGCAATTCAAATTGCTGAGCTGGAGCTGGTCAAGTCGCGCCGGGGCCGCGTCGTAGGTACATTGCTTCTGCCTATGGAATAGGTCCGCTTCCACAGGGACTGGGAGACTGGGTGGTTACCGTATAAGACGATGAATGCAGGCAATAATATCAATAATGGATTCAAAAAGTGACAGGCAATGCCACTTGTGTGTGTGTGTTTTTTTCCCAAAAGCATCTTCGATGCTTGGGTTCTCGTTTAGTTGTTTAACCGCGTGGGGGAGCGAGCTGGTTTGAACGGTGGTGTGTGGACAGCGTGGGTGCAAGGGAACGGAAGGGAAAGGAAAGGAAAGGAAAGGAAGGGAAAGGAAGGGAAAGGAAGGGGAAGGAAGGGAAAGGAAGGGAAAGAAAGGGAAAGGAAGGGAAAGGAATGAGTGGGAAAAGAAGCCGCTGGAGATCAGCGAGTTTGGCTGCGCGGACGGCTGCGGACGGCGTGGGTGCAAGGGTGGCTGGAAATGGTTGGTGAGAAGAAGCCGCTGGTGATGAGCGAGCTTGGCTGCGCCGCCGGCTGCGGACGGCAAATGGGTGGGGAGAATTGCGCAGACGGCTGCGGACGGCGTGGGTGCCAGGGGGTGGCTGGAAATGGGTGGGGAAAAGAAGCCGCTGGTGATGAGCGAGCTTGGCTGCGCGGACGGCTGCGGACGGCAAATGGGTGGGGAGAATTGCGCGGACGGCTGCGGACGGCGTGGGTGCCAGGGAGTGGCTGGAAATGGGTGGGGAGAAGAAGCCGCTGGAGATCAGCGAGCTTGGCTGCGCGGACGGCTGTGGATGGGAAATGGCTGCGGAGAATTGCGCGGGCAGCTGCGAACCGCGTGGGTGCAACGGAATGGCTGGAAATGGCTGGGGAGAAGAAGCCGCTGGAGATCAGCGAGCTTGGCTGCGCGGATGGCTGACGGGAAATGGGTGCGTAGAACTGCGCGGACGGCTGCGGAGGGCGTGGCTGCAACGGAGTGGCTGGAAATGGGTGGGGAGAGGAATTCGCTGGTGATGAGCGAGCTTGGCTGCGCGGACGGCTGCGGACGGCAAATGGGAAGGGAGAATTGCGCGGACGGCTGCGGACGGCGTGGGTGCCAAGGAGTCTTGAAATGGGTGATGGGAAAAAGCCGCTGGTGATGGGCGAGCTTGGCTGCGCGGACGGCTGCGGACGGCAAATGGGTTGGGAGAATTGCGCGGATGGGGAAATGGGTGGGGAGAAGAAGCCGCTCGTGATCAGCGAGCTTGGCTGCGCGGACGGCTGCGGACGGGAAATGGGTGCGGAGAATTGCGCGGACGGCTGCGGATGGCGTGGGTGCCACGGAGTGGCTGGAGGTGGGGAGAAGAAGCCGCTGGTGATGAGCGAGCTTGGCTGCGCGCGCGGCTGCGGACGGGAAATGGCTGCGGAGAATTGCGCGGACGGCTGCGGACGGCGTGGGTGCAAGGGATTTGCTGGAAATGGGTGGGGAATGGTCGGGAGAAGAAGCCGTTGGTGACTGAGCGTGGACAGCAAATGGGTGCGGAGAATTGCGCGGACAGCTGCGGACGGCGTGGGTGCCAGGGAGTGGCTGGAAATGGGTGGGGAGAAGAAGCCGCTGGTGATGAGCGAGCTTGGCTGCGCGGCTGCTGCGGACGGGAAAAGGGTGCGGAGAACTGCGCAGACGGCTGCGGACGGCGTGGGTGCCAGGGAGTGGCTGGAAATTGGTGGGGAGAAGAAGCCGCTGGAGATCAGCGAGCTTGGCTGCGCGGACGGCTGCGGACGGCAACTGGGTGCGGAGAATTGCGCGGACGGCTGCGGACGGCGTGGGTGCTGGAAATGCTTGGGGAGAAGAAGCCGCTGGTGATGAGCGAGCTTGGCTGCGCGGAGAATTGCGCGGACGGCTGCGGACGGCGTGGGTGCGAGGGAGTGGCTGGAAATTGGTGGGGAGAAGAAGCCGCTGGTGATGAGCGAGCTTGGCTGCGCACTGGAAATGGGTGGGGAGAAGAAGCCGCTGGGGATGGGCGAGCTTGGCTGCGCGGACGGCTGCGGACGGCAAATGGGTGGGGAGAATTGCGCCGACGGCTGCGGACGGCGTGGGTGCCAGGGAGTACTTGGAGGGCCGGGGGCGGTTATAAGTACATAGCAAGGTTAGAGCACTTATATAACCTACTTAAGATTACTAAGTGCTGTAACCTACCTTATAAGTGGTGCTAAGTTACCTTATAAGTGGTGCTAAGCGGGGTGCTGTCTCTAAGTCACTTACGTAAGTAGTTACAGTTTTGGGCTAACTATAATATATTATGTTGCATAAATGATTACGCGACGTATGGCACTTGGCTAACCACTTAGCCTATGTGGGCTAAGTGAGATAGGCAGCTTAAGCCCTAAGTGGCCTAAGTCCTGTAAAGGATTTACGCTACTTACGTATCTAGGCTAAGTGCACTTACAAAAATTTGTGGAAACACAAAATCCCGTTTCACATTTGGTGGAAACACAAAAATTCTGAATGGGGTTTTGGTGGAAACACAAAATTCCGTTGCATGTTTTCGTGGAAACACAAAAATCCAAATCGAGTTTTGCGGAAACACAAAAGCGCTCGCGGACTTAGGTAAGTGCTGTAAGCCACTTACGTAAGCGCGCTAAGTGCTGTCCCAGTAAGTCCGCTAAGTGACATACTGTAAGCTCTGTATCCCAATAGTAAGTGCCGTATGTACCTAGTATGTCCCCTATGTGCTTATAACCACCCCCGAGCCTCCAAGTACTGGAAATGGGTGGGGAGAAGAAGCCGCTGGAGATCAGCGAGCTTGGCTGCGCGGACGGTTGCGGACGGGAAGGGTGCGGAGAATTGCGCGGACGGCTGCGGACGGCGTGGGTGCAAGGGAGTGGCTGGAAATGGTTTGGGAGAGGAAGCCGCTGGGGATGAGCGAGCTTGGCTGCGCGGCGGCTGCGGACGGCAAATGGGTGGGGAGAATTGCGCGGACGGCGTGGGTGCCAGGGAGTGGCTGGAAATGGGTAGGAAGAAGAAGCCGCTGGAGATCAGCGAGCTTGGCTGCGCGCGCGGCTGCGGACGGGAAATGGCTTCGGAGAATTGCGCGGACGGCTGCGAACGGCGTGGGTGCAAGGGATTGGCTGGAAATGGGGAATGGTGGGGAGAAGAAGCCGTTGGTGATGAGTGTGGACGGCAAATGGGTGCGGAGAATTGCGCGGACTGCGGACGGCGTGGGTGCCAGGGAGTGGCTGGAAATGGGTGGGGAGAAGAAGCCGCTGGAGATCAGCGAGCTTGGCTGCGCGGACGGCTGCGGACGGCCTGGGTGCCAGGGAGTGGCTGGAAATGGGTGGGGGGAGGAAGAGCTGCTGGAGATCAGCGAGCTTGGCTGCGCGGACGGCTGCGGACGGCCTGAGTGCCAGGGAGTGGCTGGAAATGGGTGTGGGGAGAAGAAGCTGCTGGAGATCAGCGAGCTTGGCTGCGCGGACGGCTGCGGACGGGAAATGGCTGCGGAGAATTGCGCGGACGGCTGCGGACGGCGTGGGTGTAAGGGAGTGGCTGGAAATGGGTAGGGAGAAGAAGCCGCTGGTGATGAACGAGCGTGGCTGCGCGGACGGCTGCGGACGGGAAATGGGTGCGGAGAATTGCGCGGACGGCTGCGGACGGCGTGGGTGCCAGGGAGTGGCTGGAAATAGGTGGGGAGAAGAAGCGATGGGGATGAGCGAGCTTGGCTGCGCGGACGGCTGCGGACGGGAACTGGGTGCGGAGAATTGCGCGGACGGCTGCGGACGGCGTGGGTGCAAGGGTGGCTGGAAATGCTTGGGGAGAAGAAGCCGCTGGTGATGAGCGAGCTTGGCTGCGCGGACGGCTGCGGACGGGAAATGGGTGCGGAGAATTGCGCGGACGGCTGCGGACGGCTGCGGACGGCGTGGGTGCCAGGGAGTGGCTGGAAATGGGTGGGGAGAAGAAGCAGCCGCTGGTGATGAGCGAGCTTGGCTGCGCGGACGGCTGCGGACGGGAAAAGGGTGCGGAGAACTGCGCAGACGGCTGCGGATGGCGTGGGTGCAACGGAGTGGCTGGAAATTATGGGTGCGGAGAAGAAGCCGCTGGTGATGAGCGAGCTTGGCTGCGCGGACGGCTGCGGACGGCAAATGGGTGGAGAGAATTGCGCGGACGGCTGCGGACGGCGTGGGTGCCAGGGAGTGGCTGGAAATTGGTGGGGAGAAGAAGCCGCTGGAGATCAGCGAGCTTGGCTGCGCGGACGGCTGCGGACGGGAAATGTCCGCGGAGAATTGGCGGACGGCTGCGGACGGCGTGCATGCAACGGAGTGGCTGGAAATGGGTGGGGAGAAGAAGCCGCTGGTGATGAGCGAGCGTGGCTGCGCGGACGGCTGCGGACGGCGTGGGTGCAAGGGAGTGGCTGGAAATGGGTGGGGAAAAGAAGCCGCTGGTGATGAGCGAGCTTGGCTGCGCGGACGGCTGCGGACGGCAAATGGGTGGGGAGAATTGCGCGGACGGCTGCGGTTGGCGTGGGTGCCAGGGAGTGGCTGGAAATTGGTAGGGAGAAGAAGCCGCTGGAGATCAGCGAGCTCGGCTGCGCGCGCGGCTGCGGACGGGAAATGGCTGCGGAGAATTGCGCGGACGGCTGCGGACGGCTAGGTGCAAGGGAGTGGCTGGAAATGGGTGGGGAAAAGAAGCCGCTGGTGATGAGCGAGCTTGGCTGCGCGGACGGCTGCGGACGGCAAATGGGTGGGGAGAATTGCGCGGACGGCTGCGGTTGGCGTGGGTGCAACGGAGTGGCTGGAAATTGGTAGGGAGAAGAAGCCGCTGGAGATCAGCGAGCTCGGCTGCGCGCGCGGCTGCGGACGGGAAATGGCTGCGGAGAATTGCGCGGACGGCTGCGGACGGCGTGGGTGCAAGGGAGTGGCTGGAAATGGGTAGGGAGAAGAAGCCGCTGGAGATCAGCGAGCTCGGCTGCGCGCGCGGCTGCGGACGGGAACTGGGTGCGGAGAATTGCGCGGATGGCTGCGGACGGCGTGGGTGCAAGGGAGTGGCTGGAAATGGGTGGGGAGAAGAACAAGATGCAGCCCACGAACCCGAATGCT